GGGGGGGGGGGGGGGGGGGGGGGGGGGGGGGGGGGGGGGGGGGGGGGGGGGGCGTGGCAGGCAGACAGCAACACTCTACCTCCTTGTAATCTGAACCCAACCTGTATTTTGTGTAGTGGTACCAGGCGCATGCTTGCATTGACATCGCCCCGCAGCTCCCTCACGAGAGGGGAGGAGGTGGACACAGACATAGCGAGGTGAATACACGCAATGAGCATGTCGATTACGTACAAGTTAAAGCAAGAGCATTCCAACGCACTTTTCGACTGGGTAAGCATGACCTGCTGTGTGCCGTCGTCACTGCCGGGGGCCTTATGTCGATGGACTGGACCACCAAAGGCAGGAGCAAAAAAAAAAACGAGTACCTCTTTTTCGGTTCAAGAGGATATTGCTACGCCGGGTAAAAGTATGGTTGTATTTCGTAAGGATGACTGGCTGTTCGTGCGCCTTTCCCATTGATCGGGGAAACTCTCGGAGAAGGAGGCTTCTCGAGGAAACGGCGTGACAACATTAAAAAAAAGGCATGGTGGGCGCAAGACACACATCGTAGCCGCAAGCACAAAGAAATACAACTGAAAAGTATGCCTTCCGGTACGCCAAGATAAACTTTTATAGAAAATGGAGTAACATCGGAAATCAACACCCTGAAGGACACAGGCGGGTTCTTCACGGCGAGAAGCCAATAAAAACGTGTCACCTGTGTGTACGGTGCCTCCAAGTAGCTCTTCTCCACCTCGCTGGCCCCGCTAGACCCCCTCGCCATGTCGCCAACTTGCTTCACCATCATCTCGCCACCCAGACGGCCGACGGTGCTCGTCAGCGCCGGCATAGAGGACGCCTTTTGCAGGAAGGTGTTGCACCCTTTCAAAGCGGCAAAGGAAGGGACGGGGAGGAAACAGAAGAAAACAAAGAGGCAAGAGACACTGTTGGCAAAGACAACACCAGACAGTCACACAGACAGACAGACAGACAGACAGACAGACAGACCTGCACACAGATACAAGAGAGAGCGGCATCGACATGGAGAGATGTCTGGCTGGGATGAGAGCGAAGCATCACGCTAGTCGGGGAAATCGCCGCCACCTACGAGGCAAGCCCACAGATGAAACATAGGCAGGCTTCCATAACGTGCGGCCCACTCGAAACACGCTCTCAGCAGGAAGAAAAAAAAAAAAACGTGAAACGAGAGACCACAGAACAATTCAAGGCGCTTGCAGAGCAGACGCAGTCACACAACAGGAAACTGCACCACTACCACACCCCATGCACTCCAGAAATGCGGTGGCGGTTTCGCTGCGGCTCAGCATGCGCCCCAACACAGCGAAACAAAGCAACACCGCACGCACTCAGATTTCACGTAACACGGCGAAAAAAAAAAAAACACCAGAAGGCCAAGGGAACACCGCACCGTTTGGAATATGTGGCTATTTAGTCGCTTGGATACATAGCTATCGCCGATGTTGTTGTTGTTGTTGTTGTTGTTTCTCACATTAGCTCTAAAAAAAAAAAAAGATTGGGAGCCCGTGGTCTCAAAACCCGGCATACACGACCCCACGAAGAAACAGAAAAAAATAGGGTACAAAAACCACTCGGAAGAGAAACAAAATGATAGAAAGAAAGACCAGCTACCGCACCAAACGAGAAAGAGCGTCGAGGAGACCGATGTGTGTCGTCTGTGTGAACTACCTACAGGCTATATTCTGATGCTCCGTGTAGAGTCGTACGTGCCAAATAAACAAGTGGGTACCGTGTTATCTCACTTCAACGTGAGGGTTAATCTGATTCAGAACCCAATTTGTGCTAAACCACCGTGTAGAGTCGTATGCATGCGTGCGATAGAAAGTGTTTACCGCCACTGCGGTGATACCGAGGTGATACAGGTTGCGCGTTTGTGCTTACCTCTAGCTGCCAGCGGTACCCACGGCGACACCAGGCACACCGTAGTGCCTTCGAAGACGTCCTTCAGCTCCGCATCTCGGGCGCAGTCCATCGCGAACACCGCCCCGACCGACTGCCCCACCATCGCCGCCTTCCCTATCCGCAGCTTTGCGCATAGCTGCGACACAACAGATGGCGCACGCACAGAGAACAAAGACATTTATTCGTGGGGGCAACGATACTACTGTCGTCGTGGATTCACTCACACCCGCCAGGTCGCCAACCTTCTCTCCGCGAGGGAAAGCCTCATCACACAGGTGAAACAGGGGCGAGGTCCAAGGAAAGCACGAGGCGCAGCTCCCCCTCTGTCAACCTAATCGCTGCCCCCCTTGCTATCAGTGCAAATACACCCAACGAGAGCACATGCGGTACGGTAGCATAAGGTTCACGTTCTCCGCCTTCTGGGGGGGTCTCACAACTGGTTGGCACCATGGCTGAAGCAGACACCCAGTGAAACCGTGGTATGAATACTTCTTGAACGTACCCCCACCTTGTGTGCCCCTCCAATGGAAGCTAGGACAACCAGCGAGGAGCACGACAAACGCAAAGCCACCCAACCGCGAGTCCCCTCGGGCACGCGCGTCCGGGGCCAAAACGTCGCTGGATCATGCTCTGCTGGAATGCTAGATGCTAGAGTGACCATTGCACGACACACCAAGAGGACACACAAAACAGAAAAGCTCTATGCATAGACGGGTGGGAATTCTCGCCTGAACGCAATGCCGCGTCTCGACAATGCCCGCAAAAAGTCAGGCATGCTGAAGATTCCCGTCGGAATTCCGCGCTCCTCCGAGCCTACAAAGAGCAGAGCCAAATGAAAAACTTCACAAAGCTTCACCCGCGTAAAAAACTCAATATGCAAAGCCGAGCGCACAAACCACGCCGCCCCCTGCCGGCCCTCTACGATGAAACTACTCCTCACCTGCTTGACCGTGTCGACCACGGCGGCTTCCGTCGCTTCTGTTATCAAGCCCTGAACGTCCACCTCGGCCCCCGCCTCGCCATCGACCTCCGGGACAGGTATGGGATCGGACCGTCCCCTCCCGGGCCTGTCAATGCAGATCAGCCGTAGACCCCGGCGGCGAGCGATGTCCTCGAAGTGGGCGGCCGAGTGCCGGTGAGAGTCGAGGCCCTGCGATAACGGCGAACAGGAAAACGTGCCAACAACGTGGGGTTGACAAAAATTGAGGGGTTAGAGCCCGCACGCGCAACTCCGCCGCCGTGCGTGCGCAGACACGAGAGCATTGCGAAAATATCACTCCCATGTATGTAGATACACAAAGGAGGACTCACCGTCACGATTTCTCGCGGAAAAGGCGCACACGTGTATCAAAGGAAAAAAACAACCAAGGTATTCTCGGAGATGGTGTATTGCGTGTGACCCCGGCTTTGCGACACCGGCTGAGGGAGGGAAGGCCAATAAACGTGATCCGAACCCGTCGGCAGGCACACATAGAAGACAATACCTGTCCAGTCCGAGGCGACAAAAAAAACACAAAAAAAATCGGCTGCTGTGCTGTGACTCCCACGTACCGTAGGTTGCATAGGATATCACACCCCCTGGACCGATTCTCGAAGCTCGAATTCTCGGCAGGAAAAGCAGAGACGGTGCCGCACATGGCGTTAGGCGTTGGAACCGTGTCGTCGAGAAATTCCGAAAACATGTCCTTTGGTTTCGGCATCCTCTTCGTCGTGGAGTAACCGAGCTTTGAAAATCGGTCCAGGGGGTGTGATATCTAATGCAACCTACGGTATCCCCCCCCCCCGCGTGGCTCGCCCACCCCCCAGTGCCACCCCAACACTCCCCACGTTCGCCAACAGCTCGTCCCGCGCGATCGAACTGGTCGATTCTGGCTACGGTTTAAGACACGTCTAGGACAAGCCAACAATGCTCTCTAAGATCTGGTGTTCTTTAACCAATCTTTCATAAAACGGTAGCCGCTATGTACGATAGATGATCGTTTCGCGCCCTTACCAGGAACAGGAAGACCGGAAGTCCGTCCGGAACTCCGGCGACGGAGTAGCTGACAGTCTTACCGTCGGCCCGGACGAAACTACGGTTGTAGCGCTCCTCCTGTCAGGGGGGAGGGGGTGCGCAACGCGACACGCGATGGTGTGGCGACGCCAGGAGGCGGGCAGCGGAAAAAACACGCATCGCGTAAGGCGCACGGGCAGCGACTCGTGCTTGTTTTTCCGGGGGGGGGAAGCAAGCAAGATCCTGCGTTCGGCAAGCGAAACGCGAAAAAGCCAACAATCACGAGCGCGTTGGTAAGAGACCCCGCGGCGTTTGTTCTTTGTCCCGAGCACCTAAAAAAAGCACAGCGCTGCGTACCACACCAACGGCGCGGGACCCCCTTGCCCACTTGTGGTCACCGCTGGCGAGGTTGACCAACTCACCCTCTACCCCAACCGACTCCCCACCCAGCCAAGACCATGGCAACACGACCCTCACCTCAATGAGCGAAAACAGGGCAGACTTGCGGACGCCTCCGGCGCCAGCGGCGCCAGCCGCGGCCCGGTCGTCGCTGGACGGCAGGCCAAGTCCGGACATCTTCCTCCCTATCCGGTCCCAGCACAGCAAGCACGTCCGGTCCCCTCTGATGCGTTTCGAGGAGCAATCGTCGCACGTCACTCTCCCGCACGTCCTGGGCGCGTCCGTTCGTGAGACCACAACGGCGGCAGAAACAGCATAAAGCCGGTGTCAAGCTGCGCGACACGGCATTCCAATGCTCAAACAAACACCAGATATACTCTTCGTTTGTAAAATACCGTGTCCTTTCAATCCGCACGCGTGAATTCGGGCAGGAGGGCAGAGAGCTTGGACCCGGCAGCACGTGAATCACAGCGAGGCATGTGAAGTAAGTCTTGGCGACTATTAGCAAAGTCGACGAACGCCACACGACGACAATACTTCCCACAGCGCTTGACGCACGATAAACAAGCGGGGCGAACGTCCCTAACGCTTACCCAACTTCCCAGATTGCATTTGTGGCACGTCTCTTGAGCATCTAGTGTATACACGGTGGCATGCGTGCGTGCCACGTGCGGCACACTGAGATCACACACCTACCTGCAGTGGTGCCGACGCCTGTACACGATGAACTCCGCCTTGCACACGCAGCAGTTGGGCGCCATGTCGTCCGGCACCCACATGGAAGCGTCCACCGAGGAAGAGCCCATGGGTCCCCTCACAGACTGCGATTTGCTGGTGGCCAACAAACAGGGAAAAAACGCCCATTGGCAGGACAAATCAGCGTTTCGAAAACTTTTCGGCGATGCCGCCACCGCCACCTTCGAAATGATTGCACGTGGTGCTACCAACCCAAAACAACCCGAAAGGGCCGTGACCACAGCAGCAAGTCGACATCCTTACAACATGTGGCCTTTTGCGCCGTCCAAATCGACCCCCGGCGCCCGACACAGTCGTCATCTAGATTTGTATGGCTTCAATCATGTTCAACGAGACGTGTTTACAACTCTTGTCGTATATATCGGCCGTGGCAATTTCCGTGTTTGTCGATTCAGTATTATTTGAACGCTGGTATTCCAAACAGGTCTTGGAATAGGTAATGCAGGAGCCATACTTGCCGACAGCTGTCTAACTGACGCGGAGAGACTTTCTTCTTGGCGCCTTTCCTGCCAATCGCAGGAGACATCACCCCAGCCAAGGTAGGTAGCCGGGCACCCTCGTCGGCAGTGCCAACGGCGGAGCGGAGTCGACGGGGCGCGGCGCGCGCAGTCGCCCGCTTGGCAACGGGGTCGCTAGCATGATTGTCGCCCTTCGCCTCCCCCTTCCGCTTCCCGCTGACGAAACACTTGTCAAACAGCTGTGTGGGACCCAGCACTTTCTTCCGCCTGGGGCAGGGGCAGCGGGGGCGCCCGCTAGCAGGACTCTTGAATAGCCATGCCACGGCAAGGGCAAGCGTCAAGATGCCGCGGCAAGGGCAAGCGTCAAGGGGGTCGGTCCGCCGCACCGAGCGGGGGCGCCTCTGCTGCACCTACCCCAGGTGCCAGACACCGCTGGGTGACACGGGGTTGACGAGGGTTTTCAGCGTGAAGATGAAGGCGACAAAGCAGGCCACTGCTGTAGCGTAGCGCCACCGTCGCCAAGCGGGCGTGGGCCGACAACCATTTGAAGCTAGTGCTTGTAAAGGACCGCAGTATTTCATTCGCGGCCGTTGGTGTTGACGTGTGTAGGTCCTTTGAGATTGCGGCTCGTCTCACGGGAGCTGGAGACTTTCCACGGCCGTAGTGAGGTACTGTCAAGTCTTGTCCGAATTTCAGTACTGTTCGATAGCAAGCGTCAACACGGTTGTGTGAGTTACTTCTTAAACCTTTAAAAATTATGACCGCCGGGAGGGGAGGAGAGTTCATGTGCGGTAAGATGTAGGTCTTGGGAGATGACATGACCGAGAGACAGCAGAGCAGATGGCCAAGTAAATTACTTGCTGCCGGGGGGAGAGAGCTGTGTGGATGATGTACATAATGTATGCATATCAACAACAAGATACTCAGATTACCTCGGACGACACATGAACCAGGGACCTGCATGAACAAGCATGTGCATATGCACATGACATGATGGTGTACAATAGCAGTCATGTGCCCATATCACGTGAACAGGACGCATTTGCTGATGTACGACTCTGCATTTGGGTTCAGCGGTTACGTTACGCTAACGCATGCTTCCTTACAAAGCAGGAGCGGAGAAGCTACAGCCTCTGAGTGATGCATGGGTACAGCAGTACATGTATAGTAGTACCAGTAGTATTCGGTGGAAAACACCCTTCCTTTGTACATTATGTTACACAGGAGGGAGAACCCTCGGTTTTGGGAGGCCCCCACATGACGAAAGTAATGGAACCTCTGGGAGGAGGCAACGAACAGCAGCAGCAGTGACACCTTGACCATACTTCCCCCGTCCCCCCCAACGGGAATAATAATAAATCTCGCCCAACGCCGCCACCACACTCGTTTGAATAGGCGTGTTTCACTCACCCCGTGGACGTAATAGTCTGGCGGCGTCGAGGGGCTGCTACAGGAGAGCTGAAACCGATGCTTCTTCCCGCTGCCCCGAGATTCACGTCCCCTCCGCTGTTGCTGCGCTTGGGTGCCCTCGTGGGAAGCTTGTGCAGCTGTGCCGGCCCGTCCTCGGTGGGAGCCGGTCCCTCTTCCCCCCCCTCGTGCTCCATCTCTCTCGCTCTTCTCCTATCTGCTCTTCGGGGTCTACTTGGGCACCGATCGCCTACAGCAGTAGCTTCTCTGCTGCAGAGCCAGCCCTCTATCGCCCGTTGAGAGAGTTGGTAAGACAGAGAGGGGGGAAGAGAGCCCTTTCCCTTCCGCCCTGTGCGTGAGAGACCGCCGAGGGAAAGAAGCCCTTCAGAAAAACTCGAGCCCCAACAATGGGGAGCAGGCTGTACCGGTCCAAGGGGTGGGATGCAGCCAGCAGACGGACAGGCAGCTGGTCTGGATCTGTTCAAACTGAACTGATGTCTCTCTTCCTGGGGCTACGCAGAGGAGAATAATAATATGCCCTGTTGGGAGGAGTATGTACCATCGGCCTATGATAGGGCGCCGTGCGTCGTCGTGGTGCTGCTGTAGCTGTGCCGCTGTGCCAACGAGGTGATTTGTCCCGGTGCTGTAGCAGCATATCCCCCACTGCACTCTCGGCCTCTTTCGTCTCGTTTATCAGCTCGAGGGCAACATGGGACGCAAGTGAGTTTGGTGAAAATGCGGGACATTGTTTTTGTACGTGGCGCAGTAGCGCAGTGGGTCGTACTACGTGAGTGCCATGGATCTGATGGTTTGAGTGCCCCCGACTGCTGTGTTTTGCGCTTGTTTGTCGGGGTGTAAGTTGGCGGATGAGGTCTTTGTCCCCCTATCTTTCTTGCCCTTCTCGTATACCTTCGTCCTTCTGAGCAGTCGTTTGCTTGTACCGCAAGCTACAGCTGCAACAAACTGCAACTCCCAACGTCAACTCAGAGAAGGGCGGCTTCTCTCCTTGACAACACGTTTGCACATGTTGCTTTTCTTTCAACCTTATGGTTTGATTGGTACTGAACCAAGAGTTTGGTCGTGGCTGTCTCTTTCGTGCGTACTGCTCGTAGCACTTGCCGCTGTGCTTGTTGTACGTCTTGATTCAGGTAGGGTTGCCCTGGTTTGGCACCGCCGTACCTGAACATATGTATTAGGGGTGACGTCTACAAAATGGGAGATCAGTTGTTGGCAGTAGATCGCGCGCAAGATATGCCGCAATGCAGGCGTCAACTTCCAATCGATAATTTACATCGATGCCTCGACAACAGAGTTGTTGGTATACCATTGTGTTGCCTTCAATGATAAGCCTAGAAACGCCGCTCTTCCCCTCGACATGCACACAACATACACCTCCATGCCTCGAGGTGTCGGCACGGGCATCGACAACGTGCGTGAACCAGGTTACATACGGGCGCAAAGGGTCTCTCAAATCCAAACCTGCTGCGGTATGCAAGTATGCGGTCTCACGCCGCCTCAACTACGGTAGCAATAACCCATTTTGAAATTTGGAATATTGTTACCAAGCAGTCCATTCCAAGCTACCGCGCACGTTACAGCCCTGCCGCCAACCATAGGCGTGAAGTTTCGCTGCGGACATTTTGCAGATCGGGTACATATATATATACTCGAGTATATTATATATACCCTGTTTTAGTGTCGGTTGAATAGTGCCAATACCCGGAATATTGCCGGCCGGTGTTTCGGCGGACACGCACTGAATTTCCAAGTCATTCTGAATAAATAGTGCCGGTCCGGTACGTGCACATACCGGCACTAAAGAGGGTCCCCCTCTGTACTCCGAAGTATCAAGCATTAGCACCTTTTTTACGCCCGGTTAAGAACCCCTACACTAGAACCTATATAGCGACCAGTTGCAGCCCACAGGAGGAACATCAGTAAAAACCCCGGGCTAGGTTCTTTATTATGTGCGGGCGCTGTGTATCTGTGCACCACAAAGCAACCGTGTGGAAACCAACAGCGGCGGTCTGCACTCTCAAGGAGTTTTACTCGTACCGGTCGGCCCGGTGGTCTTGTGGTATCCTCGTAATCCGCTAGTCGCAGGGGTCATGAGTTCGAATCCCCATGGGGTGAAAAATTACGAAATATGCGGGTTAAAGCGAAATATAGCTAAAAAGCTCTCGTGAGTACCAAACTTCGACGTTAGCACCGCCGTTGACGAGGGAAAGGGACGGCTGGACCCTTCTCGTGATAAAAGTAAATTAGCACGCACCGCAAGAGGAAGGTGGGGCATGAAAAGAAATACTCCTAGAGTATTAAGAAGAAAAAAGCCCTGGTGTTTACCCCCTCCTGTGTGACCCTGGATGGTTGTAGTTGTACGAAAAAATACACTGAAAAGTGTAGTACTCTACATACGCTGAAAAGTGTAGCACACGTCTCACCACGAAAAATGGAGGGACTGTCGCCATTATAAATAGGACGAAAACACACACACACTCGTATGTATGGAGAACATGGTTGACGAGAAGGGGAGGCGAGCGGGGGGTTAACACAAGCGACCGGTAAAACAGCTGCAGTATGGGTACCGGAATCATGTACCGTAGGTTGCGCAAGATATCACGCCCCCCGGACCGATTTTGAAAGCTCTACTACTCGGCAGGAATGGTAGCGACGGTGCGGACATGGCGGCGTTGGAGCCGTCCGTCGGGAGCTTTCCGGAAACATACAATTTGTTTTCGCTATTCTCTTCGCCATGAGCATTATTGCGTTGAAAATCGGTCCAGGGGCTATGGTATCTAATGCAACCTACGGTAGTCATGCAAGCGAAGGCACCAACGGGAGGTCTCGCCTTTTTCTTATCGGAGCACTCGGACCGGGTTGCGCCAATAGAGCAAGAACAGCGTTATGTATTTCAAGTTCCGCACCGATATGGGTTCTCTTCGCACCCTGGTGCAATGAGACCGATATGTGAGGGCTGCTCCGGCGTACGTTGCCTGCTGCCGCAAGTCCTTCACAAGTGGATTCGACGCGGTTCGATGAAACCTAGCCCGAAGCAGGAAAAAGTCAATCCACCTCGCGGGGAAACTGGAGCAAGCGTAAGTTTCGTCTTTGTAACCGCTGACAGCTCGCGCATCACCTAAATTTCCTCCGAACGGGGCAAACGTTGTATCCTTATGAATAGAAAATTCATCTTGACAACATTCAAAAAGTTTTAAAAAACTGGGCTTTGTGGCGGTTGGGGCGATTCAGGGGGCAGCTATTATTAAGCACGGTGTACGGTAGTGTGAGCCTTATTGTTCATGTTTTCTTGCTCGGTGTCACGGCTATCGGCATGATTCGTGTAGCTCGGCTTCAGAGACCATCCACATGTTGTTCACCCGAGCTTTCGGTTTGTTGGTGTATGGGTACACGTGTCACGACAACAACCTTGCAGGAAGGCCGCGGAGGCTGTCGTTGCTGCCACCGGCGTGAACTTCTGGACGCTGGAGGAGCCGACGCTGTGGTACGCCGTCGGTCTCTTGGCCCTGCAGGTGGTGGGACGAGAGGTCTTCAAACGCTACGGCCCGTTCAAGAGCGATGCCGCGCTATTCGTGCACCAGGTCCGTATACAGATTTGATGATGCGACACGACACTCTGTGTCTGTTGGCTTGCAACATGATGTGATCGCGGTTGTATAGCAATGTTCGTGACACTCGCGCTGTGGGTTTTTGAGGTCAATTATAGTGTTCTCGCAAGAACGAGTTGGAAGGGTATTCCCGTCTTGAAGTGGCGTGATGCCAATTGCTGCACTGGAGGTGAGACTTTGCAGAGAAGCAACTTAATAACGACGACCTCCACCACGCTCATGAAATATATCACGGCGTTGGCGGACGGACGGTGATATGCTGGTCTGGTGTTCTCGCCGTGGGTTGTCGGATCTGGTAAGCGTGCACTAGACTGAACAGGTACCTGATATGTTGATCTTCTGTAAGTGGCCTACGTGTTCGTCTGCCTTTCGTGGGTCAATTTCTTTCTTGTCCACAGGTCTCGTTACTTGGTGCGGATCGCACTGTGCCTGAAGGCTGCTCTTTCACTCGCTCGCGCAGCCGCGTAGAGCACCAACATACATACCCTGTACGTAGCGCCAACTCAGGCTGTACGTTCACCCGTATTCCTAACACCCCGACCTGTGGCACGTGGCACATGTCCTCAGACTGTACCATGCTATCTTTAAACCTTGGCAACATCGTCGGCATCTACACTTTGAAAAATGTACTCCGCGCGGGTGCTTTAAGGTGAAATATCTGGGTATGCCGACAAATTTGTGTCTGCGCCGCAGCGTGATCCTACCCGAAAACGTGGGCATAGTAGTTGGCAACCGAGCATCCAACGTACCCGTCTACAGGAGGACCCTGAGACCACAAGCCTCGAAGTATTTGATTTTTAGTGCTTACTCGTCTCGACCAATTGCTTTGCCAATGCGGTTCCCATTTTTTTGCAGGAAGGGGTAGACCGTACATCAGAGGTAATCTACGCTGCCTCGCAACTACGACCAAGCATTTTTGGTTCTCTGCGGCATCCCTGTTGCAACTTGATCTACACCCCTCGTTGACTTACCTCCCTCCGCCTCCCTTTTGTGTTCACCGATAGAAGCACACATGCTCGCGTTACGTCCCATCTCGATTTCGCGGGCTCTAATGATTTGTATCATCCGTTCTTATTGTTTCTTTCCTTATACTCGTGTATCTTGTCGCTATTTCTAACGTCGCTGCTCTCTTTTGTCGCCGTCGTTTCGTGCCGTAGCTATGCTCGATGGTCTGCATCGCTCACTGCGCGTTCTGGGGGGTGTACTACTGGTTCGGGGAGGCTAACACTATCGAGGACCGTCTGTACGGCTCCTCTGTTGGCGCTCTGGTCATCGGAAAGGTACTACTTGTTATTGACTATAGCAGGTGTGGTGGTGGTCGTTGTTGGTGCTAAGGTGTGTCTGTGGTACCATCGTAGGTGCGATGCTGGTGCCGGTGGTGATGTTATCACTGAGGTCGTGTGGAGTGTGGTGTTGGTCACGGATGGAAGTTCCTCCTCACAGAGGACAGAGAACACTTTGGACAGTCCAGTCGGAGGGGTTATCCTGCTGACATTGGGCGTTACAGACAGATATGTATGGAGGCATGTTGGTTCAGGAGACCGAAGTCCCACATGCGATCAACGCCGGACACTCAAAACACGATTTTTGAAAGATGAGGCGGCTGTCATCTATGCATCAGTCGGGGGACCAACTCAAGATCACCGGGGATGAAATTCCTTTGATGATCGCAGACGGAATGATTGACTGCATGAAACTCGAAGAAGAACACCAGTATCGTGTCGCCGATGATGGCGGCGGCTCATACAACAGCAAGGCGCGAAGTTAAGCGTTGTCATGATGAGCCATGCTTTGTAGACATACACAAGCTCCTTTGGTACTCTCCCGTGCTCACCCTTTGATCTGTTGCGACTGCAGCGGCGCGATACGGAACTAAAGGTCTGGTGTGAGAATGCACGAGCGTTGGGGATAGCACCCATCTTCGTGATGTTGGCGTTTGGGGACCGATTGGAACAGGCATGGTGCGTCGTCAACACCAACCCTGTCAGATGCTCTCGGGAAGAGAGTTTCGTTTGGAAAGTGCACAATCGCCTCCCTCGCGTTCAACAACGCTTTGCATGCAACGCTCTTCTTTTTCTTACCTTTGCAAAGGTCAACCTGGCGTTTCAGTTTTACGACCTGGTGGCGACGGTGTTCATCGGACGACTCTGCAAGGTGGAGATGATCGTGCACCACGCGCTCGCAACCGTCATGTGCTACTTTCTCATGCGGGACTGGTGAGGAGATGCTAACGCCTGCCGTGGTTTTTGCCGAGTATGACGGAGTGTATGCCTACATATCTCTTCTACATGCTTTAGCGGTCTTGCGAAGGAAAAAGTGAAGCGACACCAACGGCATTAGCAGCATCCCTCGAGTGTAGCACCCCGGTTGATATCAATCCAATATTTCCAAATTGTTGCTCGCCAATGGAGGTGACATGCTCACCGTCCGTCAAAACATCAGTTTTGGGGCTACCGCACTTATGAGGTGGTAAGCATGCAATCCACACTACCCGCGATTGTGAGTCTTCCACCAATGTACGTAGCGAGTAAGCTGTCAACACAGGAAGGCGTTTCCACTGGGAGGTCGGGGTAGCATCACTCGGTGGAGTGCCAGTTCGACGTTGGTGCTTCTTTCCCGACGGGTACTGGCCTCAACAACGCGTGCCAGCGCTCCACGTCCCTGGTTTGGTTGTAAAGCCTTCATGGTATAGCTGCTGTTATTCCAACTTGCATAGCACCCATTACTTGGTGGACTTAGGGTTAGCTGGAAAAGTTCCCAACTTTTTTCTTTAGTGCGTTTCCAGCGAAACCTCCTGAGGATCGAAGTGTGCTTGTCCACCGTTCGGCGATATATATATATTTCGGCAGTTACGTCCACTACTACGCCATCTTTTTCCTGGGGATCTCGGAGGTGAGCTCGATTCCCCTGGTCTTCGTGGACGTCTTCAAGTTCTTCCCCGACGTGGCGTCGAGGTGGGCAAGCTTTTGCAGCAGAAATCACATGATATTTACAGTATTTTGCGGTGATTTTTTGTTTTTTCTGGTCGCGCCCCGTTGTGTTCTCTGTTGCCTGAAGACTCCGCTTGCCCATGACTTTAGTTGTATCGTCGATTCTGCTGGCACTGAAAGAGCGTAATGCGGTTGGTCGCAACGAAAGACCTCGCAACTATTGCGCCTTCCTTCCTGTGCGAAACCTCCAACCCAGAGTTGGTGTCTTTTTGCATTTCTATCGTTTCACCCTCGCAGTGAGTGTCGTGGTGTATATATCTGGTCGAACCGGGCACCTTGCTTGAGCGTAGGACACCCTTCCGTCGGTGTCTTTTTTTTTTGTCATTTTTCACTGCAGTTTCATGTTGTGTTGTCCACTTTGCGCCAAAACATTTGCCACGTTTCCGCTGCCGGCGCGCTGTTTACAACTTGTGCGTAGTTTCTATACGTAGGAGAGGCCCGTACGCTAGGATCTACGACAAGCTGTCTCCGGCCGACCAAATTGATACTTGCCGAGCAGGGCAGGAGGTCTCCCAAACGAAAGTGTAGGGTGTTTTTTCGATATTCCTTGGGTGCGGTAATTGTATGGTATCGCCGTTTCCCGCGGCTCGCACCCTCACCCGCGAATAGGCCCCCCCCCCCCCCCCCCCCCCCCCCCCCCCCCCCCCCCCCCCCNCGAATAGGCCCCCCCCCCCCCCCCCCCCCCCCCCCCCCCGCTGATCGGTGTTTGCCATGGGGGTTGGGTTTTCGTCGCTCGGCAACGACGTTGTAAAACAAGCCGCCCTCCTCGGTGTTTGACATCGGGGTTAGGTTCTCGTCGCTTGGCAGCGATGTTGTAGAACAAGCCGATCACTTCGTGAGCTCGGCAAACAGGTTGCCGCTTTGTTTTTTTGCCTTTTTTTTTTTGCGGTAACCATGAATGGTGGTCGAGCAGACTATGTTGTGCGGGGTCGAGAACCTTCACGCTGCGCAAGGGGGATGATCGCAACGCGTTGTGTTTAATTGGTCAAGCACTCTCGAGGCAGTTACACGGTGCTTACAACTGTCTATGAAATTGAAAGCACCAGAAAATAAATTGTGTCAAACGCAACTGTCATCCGTACGCAAGGAAACAAGCACAATACCGAACACCCTTAGCAGGATGCAGCGTACCCTTCATGCGACCCGCCGAAAACCTCACGGAGCTTCGCGCTTGGTAATGTGAGAGCCTGGTCCGGTGAGAACCCGGCGTGCTCTGTCCCGGCTTTGTAGGGATGCGAGGTCAATGNGTCCCCATGTCGGCTTCTGTGCTACTCTCTTTGGCAGTTTCGAAGGCGTGAATAACCTGCTGCGAATCTCTTTCGCGCTCATCTTCATGGTCGTGCGCGTCTTGTACTGGCCGATCGTGGCCGCCCGTCACCTCTTCGACACCTTCGGCTCGGTGCAGGTGTGATCAGTGTTCGGGAAGTGCTCAACCAACGTGCTTAGCAAATTTTGCCGCATCTCCCTGGACGTTTATTTCGTCGTCTCTCCTCTTGTTTTGGGTTGTTTCGGCGTGCATGGTCCTTCATCTTTCTCTCGCCCCCCCCCCCCCCCCCCCCCCCCCCCCCCCCCCCCCCCCCCCCCCCCCCCCCCCCCCCCCCCCCCCCCCCCCCCCCCCCCCCCCCCCCCCCCCCCCNAGCCAAGCGACGGTTCCGAAAAGCCAAACGGAACTATTGCTAGGTAGCGATGCCTCCGTGGGGTACCGCGGCCCCTCAGTTTAGCCTCACACACAAAAGTCAATCAAGCGATGGCCGGTCGCGGAACCGAAAGCACTCAAGAGAGTTGTGTGTCATGCACAATTCTGTCCGGGGTTTCTTTTTCTGCCATTATTTCGATTCCAGCCCGCCCCACACCGCTTTGCCGAACGGTCTCCGCCCACATGCTGCGGTCTGCTTCGCTTTGAAGCCTGACACTGCTGTAACTTACGCTGCTAGAGCTGCTTAGGGCTGCCCACCACGAGCAGTGCCGACGTTCGTGCTGTCCTTGTTTTTTTTTTCCAGAGCCCTGGAGTTGTTTTTGTCGCTGTTGCCACCGCTTGATCCTTGTCTTCTATCCACAGACCGGCGCCGTCCACCTACGACTACACACGTCCGTTTTGGCCAGATCGTAAAACCACGCTGCCAGCACGGCACGACATTGAACAGTATGCCGTGGTGCCCGCCCCCTCCTCCGCCGGCACTTACATTGTTGAGAGTGATACACGCCTTTGAAAAAGGAACCCGAATTGCTGTGTCTCTACTGGGACCATGCAAAGGTGGTTGTTTGTTCTAGCCGGCGAGCACAGGGAAGGCCTGACCACGCCCACACGAACGGAAACCCTTGCCTTGTTCTCGCAGGCAGGCACCGTGCACGACGTCGGGGTGGTCGGCTTCTTCACGGCTTGCAACCTCACGCTCACGTTCATGCAGTGGTATTGGGGGTACCTCATTGTGCGGGCGGTGACCAAGATGCTTTCGGGCGGGAAGAAGGATTCCAAGCTCAAAAAGCAGTAGGAGCGTACGGGGGTGAATGGACCCTTTCGAAACTCAAACACACCCTTGGAGTTTGAGTTGTGTGAATGGCGTACGTCGATGGGCTGGGTGGAGCGACGCATTAGTGCGATCTTTGTTGTCTTGCATGACTGTTCTTGGTCGAAGGGCATGTGCCCGGGACACGTTGTATCGAGGCTGCGCGTAAAAGTAAACTTATTCTACGCAAGAGGCCTTTCGGGCGGGGAGGCTGGCGACAACGAGCTTCAGCACGCGTCCGTCCTGTCAACGAGGTTGACCGCCAGAGGCAAAGCAAGGCGCAAGGGGTGCACGGGGGGGGGGGGTCATGCCCGAGAAATCGGTTGGTAATCTGGACTAAACCAGCCCGAAGTTTGTGGCACTCTGTTGAGGCTGTAAAGCTTGGTTGTTTTGAGTTACCGTTGGATTCCACTAGCTGGATAGGTTTCTTCCGGCGCTCGACTGCGCTTTTCGTCTTTCTGGACTTAATGCGTTGTCACTGTTGCCGTGCGAGTGTTGGCTTGCTAGGCTTACTTACGTGCCAAGGAGATACGAAGGGTTGAATCGGCGTCGAGAGAAGCATTTGCCGGAGTCCACGTCTACAGCAGTGACCATGCTGCCCGGCTGGTGTCTCGGATTCATGCGGTTTGTGCGGTGTTCGATATGGTGTGCTCAGGGAACGACGGTGGGTTGGTGAACGCCAACGTGGTTCTTGGAGCTAGACCCAACAACATTCCCAGCAGATCGACATCATTCCCTACACTTACCAAGGTAGGAAGTAGCACAAGGGCACACTACGATGCATCAGCTTGTTTATTTAGAGCCCGTCGCTAATGATTACACCACGGCAGTGTCGCAATAGAACCTGAAATCGCCTCTTTTTTTTTTTTCGGTCGCGTAAGTGATACGTATCGTCCTTGTTGCGCAGCCTTCGCGGTGTGCAACAAACATGTAAGGTGTTGGTGTCATGAAAAGCCAACGGATACAAAGAGGGTGGCTGATAAAGTAATTAAGCCGCTTTGTGGTATGGTGTTCGAGGGGAGTACATTGCAGTAGCGCGTGGGTCGTGGAGGAGGGGGGGGAGTCAGGGTCGCGTGTTTGTCGTCCGTGTACACGTTCATTTACACGTGGAGGGATTTGCTTGTTCCTTCTGGCGCCAATAATGAATGGACCGCAAGTCTGCTTGTTGTGGGTATCCCGAGCTCAGAACTCTTCAGTTAGAAAAAGCGAACAAGAACTGTACGGCTCGTAGAGACCGAGAGTCACGATTGCGAAAAGACTCGGAAAATGATTGTAGGGCGAGACCTGCGTTTGCAACCACAGAAATTTCCCCACTGCTGCTCTAGAGGGCGGTGATAGGTCCATGTTTTTTTCCCATGCCGCCGCTGGCGCCCACCTCGAGCGCTGCTTGTCGATCGTCGGGACTCTGCACGAAATGCTTCAGCATGATCCGGGCGAGAATTATGTGTGGCACCTCCGTTACACCACCCCAAACAACTCACGTTTGGTCTCGCGTTACGTAGCGGAATATGAGAAGAGAGGAAGATCATTTGTGGGTGGATGAGATGAGGAGTACTGTCGGCCCTCTGGCCTTCGAGCCTTGGGGGAGCGCACCGCTGGAAAAGAGCGATGGGAAACGGGGAGCAACACCACAGCAGTAGACTAGAGATGATTTTTATTTTTCGTCCGACAACAAGAGCCGGCGCCCTCATCCCGAAACGCGCCACTTCTCCCCCCCCCATCCTTAGCAACAGAGTTTACTTTCTAGACTATGTCGGCAATTCGCTTGCAAGTGAAAAGAGGGACCTTCTGTTGTGGAGCACGACGAGAAAATATATTTGTTCCATTGGACATTCAACGCGAGCAGGTTTCACCTTTGAAAAATAGCAAACCAAGCACACGCCTAAGCATGCGAGACGTCAGCCAGACTCCTCGGGGAAACAAACCTTCGCAGGGTTTTGGTAGACCCCGTTCACATGCACTCGGGAGTGGCCAGCCAGCTGCGTGACGACGTGCTGACAGTAATCGAAATCTTCGAAGCGTGAGTTTTGTGGCCCCGAGTCAAATCTCGGTAGTTTGGCCATAGGCGAGATAGCAGTTACAGTAGAGGCCAGCAGGAGCGATGGGTAAAGCAGTCTACATCGCTCCTCGCTCGGTACACCACCACCAGTGCACAACGTGCAAGTAGACCGCAACGGCCTTCTCAGGCACATGGCAGGAACTCGTGGTCTGGTCGTCCGAAAAGTAAGTAGGGCGTCAAGAGTACCAAAGAGCACTCCACCAAGGTAGAGCAGCAAATCTCCTGTTCCCTGAGTGTGGCAGGTATGCATGAAAATCGCCGGTGTGCATGAAGATCGCGAAGATAGTCTATGCGTATGCGTGCGTTCGAACGTTCGAACAAGGTCGGAACATCTCCGATTTTTTTTCCTTTTTATTGTCTGGGTATGGAGGCGTTCTGCATGCTCGGGGACAATAGAAAAGTTCAAGGGAGAATCCCCCGGCTGGGCCGCGTGCGTTTTGGGGGCGCTTGCGTGCGCCCACGAGGCTCAGTCCGCTGTCCTCCACCTTTATCCTCTTCTCTAAACCTTCCGATATCGCAAGAATGGCCCCCGTACTCAACGCCGCTGCCACCCTGGCCCTCGCCGGGTCGTGCTCCGCCTTCGTGGCGCCGAGCGCCTTCAAGGGGGCCGCCGTGACTTCCAAGGCCTCAGCATCCTCCACCGAGCTGTCGATGGCGGTCGACACCGGAATCAACGGCTTTGGCCGCATCGGCCGCCTCGTGGCGCGCTCCATGGTGAAGAACCCGGAGACTAACCTCAAGCTGATCAACACCGGCGCTGCTCCGGAGTACATGGCGTACCAGGTACGCGGGAGCATACATTGTGTTGCATGTGTGATGTTTTCACTCGCTCCTCCCCTATGGCCTTGTATGAGGGGAGGGACGCATGTCAAAACGCATGTGTGTGCAGAGTTGTAGGGAAGCACATCGGAACGAGGGGCGCATTTCGGCAGCGCGCGACAGATCGTACGACCTCTGTCCCTGGCCGCCCTGTAGATGAGCCTTGGGCGAGCACACGTCAGGCTCGCTCGCTGTATGAAGTGATGGATTCTTGATCCGAGTTGAACCGAGATTGGTTTGCGTCAACCTCATTGAAAAAGAGACGACACAACGGCCGCTTGCTTCGTGCTGGCATTGCCGGGGGACATGCTTGCCTTGACCCGTTAGACTAGTAACGTGTGGAATGCATGCAGCGCTCTGAGCGCATGGTGATATCTTCTCCTCTTCGCGTTAGCGTCACATCGCTGCCTGCTGGGAACGTTGTAGCTTCATCTCACATCAATAGCCACGTACGCGCTTTTTGAGCGGGCGACACCTGCTGTATATTGGTTCCAATTATTTGCATGTCGGGACACACTGGTATGAACTACCGCTGACGTACGGGTTGTGTGGGACAGCCGGTGCGCACCTTTCAGGCCAGTGGGCGCTGAGTGCCCTGTGTTGTATGCCCTTCAGTTACGTACGGCCTCATCTTGAACTGTGTTTTGAGGTAGGTGCGCATGTTTCTTGCTTGAAACAAAAAAAATGGCACACGTGTGCCCTTCTTGCGCTTACGTGTGTGACAGAAGGACACGTCATCCAATAACATGTTCAGTTGGTCTTGCGTACGTGTGTTTTCGGAATGCCTTCAAAAGAATTCACATCCAGAACGCCGCATGTTGCCGTGACACCTTGTTGCCGAGACTCGTCTGGCTTGGTCAGAGGATCATCTGCAGTGTCTGCTTGTCGCTGCCAAGTATAACTTCATCGTATCGCGTTCAGTAGTGAATTTCATGGAAATGATCAATGGCGACCCGATTTTGAGACCAGGGTTCTCGTCATCGAGCATGTATGAACGCCAGCTCATCGACAAGCTGCGCATGACAGCGCCGCGGCCGTTGCATTGTCCGGGCTGTGCACCTCGCGCGTTGTTTTGTCATGCCAGAGTCTTGTTGGGCGTGCTTAGGCACCCGATTGTCGAATCGCCTTTTGCACCCGCATGTCACTCTCCTGTTGCGTGTCCTCCTGCTGCCCGCTAGACTGTTGTCTCGCGGTTTGCACACCAACTCCCTTGGCAGGCCTGCCGCCCAACACCCTTTCATATATACTCCCCCGCTGGCGCGTCTGCCCCAATTCCTCACTCGTCCCTCCCCCCCCCGGTCGCCCTTGGTGCTGCAGTTCAAGTACGACACCGTGCACGGAAAGTTCGACGGTACCGTGGAGGTTGACGGCATGGACCTCATCCTCGACGGCCAGCGCGTGCCCACCTCGCACACCCGCAACCCGGAGGAGATCCCCTTCACCTCCACCGGCGCGGAGTACGTCTGCGAGTCCACCGGCGCCTTCCTCACCGAGGAGAAGGTGCAGCCCCACCTCAAGGCCGGCGCCAAGAAGATCGTCTTCTCCGCGCCCGCCAAGGATGACTCGCACACCATCGTGATGGGCGTGAACGCCGAGACGTACGAGTCCAGCATGAACCTCGTGTCCTGCGCGTCGTGCACCACCAACGGGCTCGCCCCCACCGTCAAGGTGATCAACGACAACTTCGGCATCAAGGAGGCCCTCATGACCACCGTGCACGCCATGACCGCCACCCAGATGGTCGTGGACGGCACCTCCAAGAAGGACTGGCGCGGGGGCCGCACCGCGTCGGCCAACATCATCCCCTCGTCGACCGGAGCCGCCAAGGCTGTAACCAAGGTTAGACACGCGTTTCGATAGTGCTGAACAAAGAGGGCCTGGCTGGGCCGTGTCCTGACGTATGCATAAACCCATGTAACTTTTGTTCATGGCGTTTTGTTCTCACTCCCGACGTCAATGAGCAGTACGTCATTGTTGACGGATAGTTGTTGAAAATCGTTTGGTTTCACGGAGTGAATTGCCTGTTTTGAATGAGGATTGCTCTTGTGGAGATGACGCGACCGCCTCGTTTGTTCGAAAAATTAGTCGTGAAGGTGGTAACTGAACATATGCACGTAGTTCCGAGCTACGAGTGCGTGGTTTGCTGAAAACGGGTGTGACAGCTACCCTTTATCCCCGGCCATCGAGCGTACGATGACCGGAGACGCTAGTCCAGTGCAAAGAGCATGGATAAAAATGGACGGGTGGGTTGTGTGTTTCTCTCCAAGTGAGCGATATGAGATACGAATATGTATGCCTTGCGTCCTCACAACAAATTCTCCCGCCTCCCCTCCCCCTCTCCCCGCTCTCTTCTGTTGCTGTACCCCGTCAACACCTCAGGTGATCCCGTCGCTCCAGGGCAAGCTCACCGGCATGGCCTTCCGCGTGCCCACCCCTAACGTTTCCGTCGTTGACCTGACCTGCACCCTCGACAAGGCCACCTCGTACGAGGAGATCTGCGCCGCCATCAAGGAGGCATCCGAATCCGGTCCGATGAAGGGTGTCATCGGCTACACCGAGGAGCCGCTCGTGTCGACCGACTTCATCTCCGACTCGCGCTCGTCGATCTTCGACGCGGGAGCAGGAATCATGCTCAACCCCAACTTCGTGAAGTGCGTGGCGTGGTACGACAACGAGTGGGGCTACTCTCAGAGGGTGATGGACCTCATGGTCCACATGGCGACGGTCGACGCCAAGGCCGGCGTGAAGGCTTAAGTCGAACTCCGAAACTTTTTTCACTAGCTCTTTTGGTGTTTATAGTTTTGGGGTCACAGCGGAGGCGAGAGAGCGGGATGATTGCTGCGAGGTCGTGTTTGTTTGAAAGTCGTGCACGGCAGGTTTCAGCTAGAGTTGTTTCTTGGCGTTGAACCAAAACCGATCACGAACCCGAGTCGAAATGGTCAGCCAAAGGCCTTGCGCAACGCGTGGGAGCTATCCTTGACCGCGAAGGAGCAGCGTACGGTTTAATAGGTTTAATAGAAACGAGTCAATGCCGGCACGGCATTCCTGGTTTCGATTTTGGCTTGCGTTTCTGCGTGTTTTCTGCTTGGTTGATAACCCTTCGGTGCCAGGGAGGGTGCTCGTCCGTTACTCTGGTTTTGTGTGGTTGTCGGCACATGCCACCATGTCTTGGAATGTTGATTTGTTGCTGAGAAATGAGCAGTGCCCTGTGGACGCGCGCTGGCTACGCCTCGCGTTGATTCCTACCTGCACACAACTGATGTCGGTTATAGAGAAGACAGTATCATCAAATAGAGATAAATCGAGGATATTGGACACACGAAGCACCAACCTTTCCAGTATTTTTTCACGCGCCCGTGCAGCGCTGCAGTATATGTGGGTCAAACCCGTACACTGCCCCGTATGTAGTATGTATAGCACACGTGCGAAAGCGCAA